GGCCCCTCCCCCATGGCCAGCCCAGCCTTGATTGGGCACTGATCAGGGTGGGTGGGCCAGCCGGCTGACCTCCCACTATCGCCCAGCCCAATCTGCCCCAATCGTTGGCCGGACCCCACCCATGCACAAATTTGTGCACTGGGCCTCTAGTGCATACATAAAGTGATTGGACCATAGGGGAGTCGTACCTTTCTCAGGAGGTCAGAAGTGATCTTTTGACTGCTTAGATGTTCCAGGCACTTGAAATTTGTGAACTCACCTATACACCATTCCTGTGAGATCCACATTTCCCTCGTTTTACAATGAGGAAACAGACTAAGGAGGTTTAACACTCCTAAGGTCAGCCACATAGGTGAGGATTTTAGCTCTGCTCCCTTTGGTTCCAAAGTCCTTGTGTTCTGAACGATTCTTGAAGGTATTTTCCAGTTCTGACTTTTGGAATGAACTCAGGCCCCTTGCTGGAATTGGAGGCCTGGCATCTGCTCTTGGCTTCCTCCACATTGAGCAAATTGGGGGCAGAAATATTTATATCTCATATGTTGACCAAACCCCTGGGCAATCTGAGGAAGCCCTGGATCCAAGCACCAAACTGTAGTTGGGATGGGAGTCTGGATGGCTAGGCCTGCACCTGGGCAGTTGTCTCAGCATCTGCCCTCTACTCTTGGGCTGTGGGTCCCTGTCAGCCCCGCCTCTCCAACTGGACCAGATTTAGGCTGGAACCCTCAGGCCACCCACCCCCACTCTCCACCATGCCCATCAAGGGGCAGGATTACCAGTGGTGAGCAAGACAGTACTCCGCACACGGCACGAATGACAGAAGAGACAGTAGAGGTTGGGCTGGCAAAGGGCGGAGCCAGGATTTAATCCAGAGGTCCATCTGTGGTGCAGTCACCCCTCGGTTGATGACTTTGTTGGGGCCCTCTATCCCCTCCTAGTACCCTGACTCACTGCTCCCCTCCTCTCTGCCCACAGTGAGGAGCCCCCAGGGGAGGCAGCCCAGGCTGTGGTTGTGAGTGACCCCCTGAAAGAAGCTGGCACCCACTACATCATGGCAGCCGATGGGACCCAACTGCATCACATCGAGGTGAGGCTGGGTAGCTCACCACGCCCCATTTCCTTTCCCATCTCTCCCTCCCTCAGTGCCTCATGCTCCCGTCTCCACAGCTGACTGCAGATGGCTCCATCTCCTTCCCAAGTTCTGATGCTCTGGCCTCTGGAGCCAAGTGGCCTCTGCTGCAGTGTGGGGGGCCACCCAGAGACGGCCCTGAGCCCTCATCTCCAGCCAGAAGCCACCCAGTGGAAGACCCCCAGGGCTCTGCCTCCCCACCTCCTACAACTAGTAAAGCCCTGGGCCTGGTAGTGCCCCCGTCCCCACCATCTGCAGCGTCAAAGAAGTTTTCCTGCAAGATCTGTGCCGAGGCCTTCTATGGCCGAGCTGAGATGGAGAGTCACAAACGGGCCCATGCCGGGCCGAGTGCCTTCAAGTGCCCAGACTGCCCTTTCAGCGCCCGCCAATGGCCTGAGGTCCGGGTAGGTGCTGCTCCCTGTGCCTCTGTTGTCACAAACCTTGACTGAGCACCCCCTCGACCCAGCCCTCTCTAGTCAGAGATAACTCGGCAGGTTTCTCAGGCTGCTCAGTCTGGGGGGAGACCAGACATGACTGATGCCTGACAGTGTCTCCAGAGTGAACGATGCACGTGTCCTGGGGACTTGGGATGCTAGGAGAGGTCATGGAGGAGGTGTGCCCGCATGCGTCATGCTTAGGGAAATTCGAGTCATTTAGAATACGGAGGGTTGAGTTCAAGGGATGTTCTGGGGCAGGTTCGTGATCCAGTTTGGGGGCCTCCCTCCCAAAAATCCCTTCACCCAAGGATTTCGTTTTCAGATCCAACCATACACTGAATCCTCACACTACCTCAGTGAGGGAGGGGAGAAGGGCCCAGGGCCCTAGAACGTCAGGGCTGGGAGAGATGGTCAGAGGTTCCTTCGTCCGGACCTGTACTCTTAGGGATAAGCTGAGTCTGAGAGCAGGGACAGGATTTTCACAGTGACCTCATGACAGAGCCTCTGGCTTTCCCCAGCTATACAGCACCAAATCTCGGTCTGGTTTGTACTCTTTATCCAGTTCCTCACAGATCCACCTCAGAGGATAGGTTCCCTGACTGCTATCTGTGGAAGCTGTCTGTCCGGACCCAGCTGATGCCCCTACTCTGCCCCTTCCGCAGGCCCACATGGTGCAGCACTCAAGCCTGCGGCCCCACCAGTGCAGCCAGTGCAGCTTTGCCTCCAAAAACAAGAAGGACCTGCGGCGGCACATGCTGACCCACACCAACGAGAAGCCTTTTTCATGCCACCTCTGTGGGCAGCGGTGAGGCTGGGTATAGATAGGCTGGGGCTGCTGGGCGTGCATGGTAGGGCCACCCCTGAGCCTTCGTCCTTCCCTGCAGTTTTAACCGGAACGGGCACCTCAAGTTCCACATCCAGCGGCTACATAGTCCTGATGGGAGAAAGGCAGGGACCCCTACTGCCCGGGCCCCAACTGGGACCCCCACCCAGACCATCATCCTGAACAGTGATGACGAGACACTGGCCACACTGCACAGTGAGCTGCCCCAGGGGACCCAGGGTATACCAGGGACTTGAGCCACTGCCCTAGAAAGCACCCTTGGGCCATGGTGGGGCCAGGGCATTTCAGACTTCCCCGGAGCCCCTGAGTGGAACATCCTCCCCTCTCTGCCCAGCCGCACTCCAGTCCAGTCATGGGGTCCTGGGCCCAGAGCAGCTACAGCAGGCACTGGGCCAGGAACACATCATCGTGGCCCAGGAGCAGACAGTGACCAATCAGGTGAGAGCCTGCACTGGGGGCCCTGCCTGCAGGTCAAGGGAAGGGGTGGGGCACATGGAGAGCTGAGGCTAGAGCTGGCTTGGCTGTGACAGGAGGAAGCCACTTACATACAAGAGATCACCACAGCAGATGGCCAGACGGTACAGCATCTAGTGACCTCCGACAACCAGGTGAGCTGCTGCTGAACACCTCAGCTGTGAGTGCCCCTCTGCCAGACCCCACATTGGGGAGAAGCAACACTTTCCAAACCACCCTTCCCAGGATGAGTGCTTGCAACTGCCAGTGGTGTCCTTGGCCCCCCTGCTGTACCATCCTCACCGAGCTCTTGATGAGCAGGCCCTAGCACCTGCCTCCTCTCCACCTTTCAGGTACAATACATCATTTCTCAGGACGGAGTTCAGCACCTGCTCCCTCAGGAATATGTTGTGGTCCCAGAGGGTCATCACATCCAGGTAGGCCAGGCCTAGGGTGAGAGTGGGATGTGAGGACGGACGGACAACCTCCTTCTAGGATCACCAGGTTGGCTTCCTCTTTCCAGGTACAGGAGGGCCAGATCACACACATCCAGTACGAACAAGGAGCTCCATTCCTTCAGGAGTCCCAGGTAGGGCCCTTGGGGAACCAGGTGAAGCTGGGGCATGGGTAGGCCACGTCTCATTGGCTTCTCCCCTCCAGATCCAGTATGTGCCTGTGTCCCCAAGCCAGCAGCTCGTCACACAGGCCCAGCTGGAGGCTGCAGCACACTCAGCTGTCACAGGTATGGTGCTGGACCCTGAAGACCATGGGGCCCGGGCCTAGCTTCTGGGGCCTCAGCTCACCATCCTTTCCCCTCCCCTGGCAGCAGTGGCTGATGCTGCCATGGCCCAAGCCCAGGGCCTGTTTGGCACAGAGGAGACAGTGCCCGAACACATCCAACAGCTGCAACACCAGGGCATCGAGTACGACGTCATCACCCTGACCGATGACTAAGCCCCAGGGGCACAACACAGACCATGGATATTGGGGCTAGCCCTGTTGGGGGTGGAGGGAATCCACCAGGACTCACCTCCCTGCTCCACCTAGGATCTCCAGATACTGAGCAGCCAGCATCCTGTCACTCCAAGGGAGCCAGACCTGTGCTATGGGGGTTGGGGTGGGGCAGCTATGGGCACCAGCCAGGACATGCTGGTTGCCCCAGCCTGCGGGCAGGCTTTGGAAAAGAAATTTATTTTTGTTTGGATGGACCCACTGGCCTTACTCTCAATAAAGGGACCAGAGTCCAGCCCTAGCTGGCTCACTTTGTCCACTTGCTGCTACAGCCTGAAGCAGGCAAGAACGTGGGGAGAAGGAAAGGTGGAGCCTGTTACAGCCACAAGTGGGGACTGAGGTGGAGGCAGCCAGCCTAGCCTGCAGTGCATCCAGCCTGGCCTCTGTAAGTACAGTGGCCCCACACAGCCCGTGAGGGCCCCCAGCTTCTCCCCCTGGACCCCCGAGGAGCAGCCTGTGATGGCTCTGAGCTGTTTTCTCCAGAACCTTGACTTGAGTGTAAAACACACCTGGCTGCCCACATACTGTGGTGGTTCCAAGGCCAGCAGGGGCGTCTAACTTTCTACCTGGGCATAGCTGCCAACCCTCAGCTCCCCACACAGATTAGCACAGGCTCAATTCTGGGAGTTAGGGACTTACCAGATAGATGGTGCAGGGCTCTGGACTCCAGACCTGCTGGGCACGGGCTGAGGCCACCAGGGCCCCAGTTGTGGGACAGCATGGTGAGGAGTTAAGACACTGGAGCCCTGGGTTGGGGTGTTAAGGCCCAGGGGTCATGAGGTGAACCTGGACGTACAGAGGTGTGATCCCAGAAGGCTCCAGGTTCCTCAGCTTTCTCTGCCCTCAAAACCCTCACTCGTTCTTACCGGATGGTTTCTATATTTACTTTTACAAATGAAACAAGGTGGCATAGAAGGTGGGGAGAGGTATGGGGCCTATTTACAGGGGACTTGGAGTTTGAGGTGGGAAGTTGGGGCGGGGG